AGGGCATAACACTGTCTTTAGGATTATAGAGGCCATTGGGAACGTTAATTAAATTCTGGGGAAAAGCCTTTTAAAAGTGCAGTCCTGCAGCCAGAGAGCTTGGAGCTTTTATCATCGACTCGCAGTGCATGAGAAGGGGCTGTCTAACAGTTCCTGCCAGTGTGATGAGGAATTGTCACATGCTTCTGTTCTACATGCCAGGCTTGAAGAGTGTCATATCCATAGTCCTAAATTGCCTTGGTGTCAGAAGGACAGGTATTGCCCTCAGTGTCATGTTGTTCTTCAGCTCTGAACAGTGAGTGATCTTCCCTCATCAAAGCCCAGTTTGACTCCTTCCAAACCAAAGCCTGGTGTGCTGCTCATCTCAAGTCAGCTAATTGTGATGGAAGATGTGTTTGGCTGCCTTAATTTATCATCCTGTTTGGAAAAAGGAGTTCTGAGATGATACATGTGCTTCACATTTTCCTTTTGGGTGGTTGTTGCATTTGGTCCTTGTAGAATGTGATGTGGTTTCTTTCCAAAGTGAAGTGAAATGTGGTGTTGGAGCCCTGTGCTTGGGCTGCAGCTGGTGCTTGTCCTCAGGAGAACATCACACCTGGACAGTTCTGGTGGCAGCACTGAGTGCAAGTCACGTCTGTGACACTGCTGCTAAAATCTCCAGAGACATTGCCCTGTACCAGTTTGAGGTGATTTATGTGGAGTCAGTAGGACTGACATGAGAGTGGTTTTGTCTGGAGTTATTTTCCTAAGTGCTGTAATTTCTGATGAGCTCGTGGCAGGTGGTTGTTAAAGGACGCATTTCAGTGATTTAAGGTGGATATTGGAGTGCTGGTGTCTTCCAGAAATTAACTGGATAACGAAGGGAAGCTTCTTCCCACTTGTGCAGCTGTTTGGCATTTACTGTTCCACACATTGCTCACCTGAGGCTTTATAAAGATGCACCTCTGCACAGAAAATGGTGCAGGGCAGGCTGGAAGCACTTTGTGGTTAAATACTGTCAGATCACTTTGGGGTGATGGGTTTTGGCTTGGCTGAAACAGTATCAGAACTCATGGTTAATTGTGAGAATTTGAGGAGAGAGGAGCTACAAGGAGGAGAGCACCCCAGAGATTTTTAATAGTAGGGATAGGAATGTATGGAAGTAGTTAATTGGGGATCAGTTCCTGGACAAACTGGGTGATGTGAACAAGTTTGTATTTCCCAAACTTAGAATTGCAGAATCCTGGAATGGTGTGGGTTGGAAGGGACCTTAAATCTCATCCAATCCACCTTCTGCCATGGGCAGGGACACCTTCCACTATCCCAGGGTACTCCAAGCCCTGTCCAGCCTGGCCTGGGACACTTTGAGGGATCCAGGAGCAGCCACAGCTGCGCTGGGCACCCTGTGCCAGGGCCTCACCTGCCTCATAAGGAACAATTCCTTCCCAGTGTTTAACCTAAACCTCCCCTTTTCCACTTTTTAGCCATTCTCTGTATCCTGTCCCTCCATCCCTTGTCCCCAGTCCCTCTCCAGCTCTCCTGGAGCCCCTTTAGGCCCTGGCAGGGGCTCTGAGGTTTCCCTGGAGCCTTCTCTTCTCCAGGTGAGCACCCCCAGCTCTCCCAGCCTGGCTCCAGAGCAGAGGGGCTCCAGCCCTTGGAGCATCTCTGTGGCCTCCTCTGGGCTCTTTCCAGCAGCTCCACGTCCTTATGTTGATGCTGGAGGCTGTTTTTTGGGGATTTTGCACTCGTGTGTTCTAGGTGAACTTGTATTTGCTGTCTTTCACTCGCAAATTGGTTGATGGTATAAACTGTATTTGTTACATTTTCACACTTAGGGAAGAGCAAGGACAAGGTTAGAGTTCAAATTTGGCAAATGTTCCTTGGAAGGTGGAAAAAATTTGGAGGACCCAAGTGCAAGTTAATACAGTTAGGCAGGAATAATCAGCTATTCTAATATTAAATTGAAAGTAGCAAGCCTTACAACAATTTCCAAAGAGCAGGATCTGGGGATTATGGTAGTGATGTAGTCAGCAGTGTCACGATGCTGAGCTAAACCCGAGTGCCTGGGCCCGGGAGGGCTAAACCCGAGTGCCTGGGCCCGGGAGTGCTAAAGCCGAGTGCCTGGGCCCGGGAGTGCTAAAGCCGAGTGCCTGGGCCCGGGACTGCTAAAGCCGAGTGCCTGGGCCCGGGACTGCTAAAGCCGAGTGCCTGGGCCCGGGAGGGCTAAACCCGAGTGCCTGGGCCTGGGACTGCTAAACCCGAGTGCCTGGGCCCGGGACTGCTAAACCCGAGTGCCTGTGTGCTGGCAGGGCTGAGGGAGTTGTGGAGCTTCCAGATATGAGAAATGCCTCCATCTGCGGCTCGTTGACATCTTGTCTGTGCCAGGGCATTCTGCTGTGTTTGGGCACATCTGGCTCCCTGCCACTCATCTCCAGAGCAGATCTGGGGAGAAATAAACTCCAACCTGGTGGGAATGAGTGAGATTTGGCTGATCCTGTTTCTGAGCAGGGACACAGACTTAAGCTTTGTGCTAAGCTCCTTGGCCAGCGTTAGCACCAATAAGGCAGTGGTGTGCACACGCCTGTGTATGTAAGGGTGTGGAAAGGGGAAGGACTCTGCACCAAATTACACCCACTGTACCCAAAATGAGATGCTGTCATTGAGCTGAGTAATCAGCAGGTTGATGGGGTGGAAGAAATGGCTCATTGGTAGAAACAGAAGTTTATTAAGGTGTACAAACCCTTTCTGTGCCCAATTGAGGCTTGAAGGTGGCACGAGCTCAGCTGGCTCCAGAGTGCCCCAAACCCCAACTGCAGATCCTCTGAAAAAATGGTCTCCATTCTGGTTTAACGTCCTTCAAGCTGGAATGGAGTTATTCACCAATCCTTCATTTTGTCCCCACTGCATTCAGTGCAGGAGCACAGTGATATCCTGGGAAAAGCAGTTTATGCTCTGTCTTTCCAGGGCTCTTGGCAGGAGTTTGGTACCTCTGAAGCCTGGCTGAGAATCTGCTTCCCGTTCTTCCTCAAGGCTTATAATCCCTATTTGAGCTGCTCTTAAGTCTAGGTGTGACCTCTATTGACATCCTCTGCTCTATTTCCTTGGACACCTTGTTGGTTCCAGGACAAGAACGATCTTACTCTATCATAGATGGATTAGATCTGCTCCAATCTGCACTGGAGACTGGCAGGGCAAACAAAAAGCTGCCATTCTCCTTTTAAAAGGTTTTCTGAGTTTTATTTGAAAAGCCAGAGTGAAGCAAAACTCAAACCAGTGTATTTTGTTCTCATAGGGATCTGGATTTATACTGGAAAAACGTAGATAAGCCTGTAATTGAGGTGGGGGGGAAATGCTTCCCTTGCAAAGCCCAGAGTCTGTGCAGCTCGGTCTTCAATTTTAACAAGAACTTTAGATTTCTGCGGCACTGGAAGAGATAATAGAGGTAAAATGTCAAAGATTTTCCTGCTGTTCATGGCTCTTGTTTCTGCTCTGCCTTTTTCTGCATGAGAGCTGACACTCAGGATTTCAGAGGCACAGGGAACATCCTGTGCCTCACAGGGATCCACATCCACTCATAGGTGTCCTTGTACAAACCAGAGTAACGTAAGTAGCTCCTAGAAAATTTTCAAGTTTTATTAATTTTTTGTTCTGTATATTTGGTTTGGGGTTTTTTGGGGGGATGTCTTAATTATCTTTAAGAAAGAGAATCCTAAGGATTTAGATCCCAACCTAACAGGTCTCCAGCCTGACACTGTCACTGGGGAAACTTCAATCTTTCTAGAATGTTTTCCTTTATTTCCTCTTTGAATTCTTGAAGGTGAGAGAGTGTTTGAATGCTATCAGCTGCCAAAGCGTCATTTATCTGTTGTTTCTTTCACACCACTCCTGCCTTATCTCTAAGTTGCTGTGAACTGTGAGTAGCAGAGACAATGGGCTCTGTGCAGGAAGGCTGCTGTCCTTCTGGGGGGAAGCTGGAGGCTCTTTGGAGACCCGGGACTCTCTGTGTAGTTCAATGATAGAGGAAATCGTATCAATTTGTTAATTAAGGTCATTTTAGAAGGTAAATCCGATTGTAAAAACCCCACAAACAACCAAACAATGGGAGAAGCTGCAATGCTTCCAGGACAGCCTTTGTTTGCAAATAAAGGTCGCCTTCACAGTTCGTGCTTTTTCCTCAAATCCCAGAACTATTCTGTGGCTTAATTAAATAAATCTCGTTATTAAATGCATATTTGTCTTCCAGGTGGTCTTAAAATATTTCACTGTTTTTTTTTATTGACCATGAGATGATGGTCAATGGTGAGAGATGAAATGGTTTTGAAATGAGTGCAGGAGTTTGTTATATAAGTGTTATTTCTAAGGTAGGCTTTAAAAACCAAGATGCCCTTTTCCCAGTGTTATGCTGATTGGAAAACTGTTCTTCTCTGGAAGAATTTTTCTTCTGTTTCGTACAGATGATTAAGTTAAGACAAGTCAAGGTGATACTGACACACAATCATTCTGCTTGACCAAATCCACCAGAAAGACAGTAATTAAAATTCACTTCTTAATGCAAACTAGATATTAATTACAGAACTCTTCGGGGAATACTTAAAATGGGAAAGTAATCATGTTTATCCTGGGTTAGAATGGAGGTAAAAAACACTGTATAACACTTGCAAGATGTTTTAAGCTCAGAATGGGAGACTTTCCACTGAGGGCTGAATTGTTCTTGATGGTTCCCAGTCTTGATTCCACAAACCAAAGGACAGCACTGCTGGGAGGGCACCCATGCCACAGAGGCTGAGAGCAGAGCAGGGAAATACATTTCAGGGATGAAAAAAAGTCTCAGAATCGGAGGGTCCATGATGTGAATAATGAAAGCAGAAAACATTGTCCTGCAGGCCGGGCTGGTTGAATGTGTTCAGGGGGAGCATGTGAGCAGTGGTAGTGCTTGTGCTCCTTACAGTGTCTTCAAGGAGGGTACATTTCACATGGAAAACTGTGGAAAACTAACTCAAAAATTTGGTGATATTTTACAGAATCGCTTGTGAGAACCTTCACTCCTTTTTACTTCCTGGTGGAGCCCCTGGACGTGCTGTCGGTGCGGGGGGCGTCGGTGATCATGAACTGCTCGGCTCACTGTGAGACCCCTCCCAGGATCGAGTGGAAAAAGGACGGCACTTTCCTCAACTTGGTGTCCGATGACCGCCGCCAGCTGCTGCCAGATGGATCCCTATTAATTAACAGTGTGGTGCATTCCAAGCACAATAAACCTGATGAAGGATATTACCAGTGTGTGGCAACCGTGGACAGCCTGGGGACCATCGTGAGCAGGACAGCAAAGCTCACTGTGGCAGGTAAGGCTCTGCTTTGTGAGTGTGGCTGAGAACACGGTGAGGGAAGGGAATGCTCTGCCCTTGGAAAAACGGCAAGGTGCTTCCCCAGCAGCACGGGCTGCTTCCATCAGCTGTCAGGGAAACTGGGACTGTGGCTCTCATTTCACGTGTGTTCTGTTCCTGTAAGCAGCTTAATGTGGGGCATTTCTCAAGAAAAGCTAGAGATCAGGAAAGCTGCAAGGAATGGATTAAGAGAAGTGTCAGGTGTCTGAAATCACAATGGAGATTTACCACAGCTTAGAAGGGGGAAGAAAACAGGATTTTACTTCCTTTATGTAAAAATAGCCTTAAAATAACTTTCTGTGCTTGTATGTGGAGAATTACCTGCTCTGTCTGAAACATTTGGGAAGCTCCTAACAGCAGTGTGTACAGTCCCTGCAGGACTGGGAGATGGATACAGAATGGAGTGCTGGGGAGTTGTATTTTTCTGTTTCTTGAATGTCAGCTGTGAACAAGGAAGTATGAAAAGTAACAACCAACCAAATGCATACAATTTTCCATTAAAAAGCCCAAGTCATAACCTTGGCTTTGGTGTTTGAGTGCTCTTTAGCCTTCATAGGTGATAGCTTTATTTTGGGGGATAGGAAGCAGTGAGGGAATGAAGTTTGCAGGTAAAAATAAAGATGATGTCTGGGAAAAGTGATCTGTCACTTGCTTATTTCTCAGGGATGGGTGTTGTCAGTTTGTCTTGTAAACAGTAAAGTAGGAAGAGACTTCTAATTACTGAGTAAGGGTGAGACTTCAAAAACCACCCAAAAGTAAAAAGCAAGGTAAACTAAGGCACTGTAACTAGAAAAAAGCCTATGAAGCTATTTTCCTTTGTTTCTCTAATGATGTTTGCCAGCCTTTTTCAAACAGTTGTTTTTCCTTTGCTTAATAAATGTCTCGGGGTAATGAATTCTTCCTGACTGGTGCTCCTGCATCTCCCAGAGCTGCTGCTTCCATCGTTTATATTCAGATGTTGTTCCCATTAACTTGGCTTGTAGCACTGTTGTGAAACATCAGCAGTGTCAGAAATAGAAAAATTGGGGTTTAATACCTTAAAAGAGTGACTTTGAGAATCTTTTAATGAGGAATAGATTTCCAAGCTTCTTGGCAATGAGGACAATAAAGACAGTTCTCCCACACTTCTCTCGAGCAATTACCACCTCCTTGCATGGCTGCTGTCGGGATTAATTCTGCTGCTTTCCACATGAGAGCCTTCAGCCTCCTGCCTCTGCCATCAGCCTGCTCTCTATGATCGTTAGGTGAGGTTAATGGGGTTAAAAATGAAGGTAAGCCAAAATGTCTGCTGAATTTCCACTTCCATTTTCTCCTATCTAGGTAGAAGGTACTATTTCCACTGATATTTTGTAAAATGATGCAATATTTAAAAGCCTTTTAGTACTTGAAAAAGAACCCAGATACTTAGAAAAAAACAAAACCCAAAAGCCTACTTTAAAAAACCCCCCAACAAACAACAATGCAGTTCTGAGGTTTTTTTCCCAATCTTAGCTGGAAAACAGGACAAACATAGTCTGGCCCAAGACAATAAGGACCTTCCCCACAGAACCAGTTGCCCCTTTGGCACACATTGGCCTGACAGCTGTGTATTAAGATTATTGATTGATTCCATGCAATAAAAATGGTACTTTTATTGCCCAGAACTAGAGGAAATAGTGGTGACACATGTTGTGCATTGCCTTTTGCCATCCTGTGCCTTGGAAACCTGCCCCAGAGCATCTTCTGGCTGCACTGCTTCAGAGGCTTTGGCAGATGTGGGTGTGTGAAAACCTATTTACCACCCCAGTCAAGTGCCAAGAGCTGGGCAAGACCATGCTGAGTTTAATTCTCTTGTAGGGGGAAAGGCACTTTGGTTGCTGAAGGCTTTGGAATAAGAGGTGGAATATTTAAATTCTGGTTTAGCCTACTGCTTTGCTTTTCCTCATTTGAATCCCTCAGTTTTAACAGTGGCTTTTAATATGCCTTCCCACTCTTTGTTTTAATTGGCAGCTTTCAGGCTGTGGTGAGCGTGGGCATTGTTAGCATAGTAAGGGCTCCCCTTGGCCTCAAAATTCCAGTGGGAGGGAGCTAATTCCCCTCTTAATTGAGCAGTGGGGTTCCTCTCTGTGTGTGAGTGTGGTGCTGCCATGCACCTGATCTCTGAAAAGGAACATGATGAAATGTAGGTTGCATGTTTTAACAGCTTCTTACTCATTAAATAACTCTTGAAAATGACAAGTTCTGGTTAGTCATGGAGGCTAGGGCAAGGAAATCCAGTAAAAACATGTCATGTGCTATCGTGTGGATACAGGGTTGGAATTTTCAGTCTTGGAACTGCACAGCCAGTGGATGATGCTGAGCAATCTACCTGCAGGAAGATGGCCAAATTTGGATAAGTTTTTCAAGTTAATTTAAAGGACTTTCTATGGACTGATCTAAAATATTTGGGTTTTGGAATCTGCAGCTCTTTGGTTGCCAAAGGGTGACAGGGGTTTGTTTAGTGAAAAACTGAACTCGAAATACGTGCTCTGAGTGCGTGGGCCTGGAGTGCTGGGTCAGAGATGGGAGGAGTTGCATTAGAGGCAGACTGGCTGGGCTTTACATCAATTTGTGTGTTTGACCCAGCTCTGAACGTGCTGTGGCAGGGGAGGAGGTCATGGCAGCTTCACCATGCACTTGGTAATGTGCTTTTAAAGGACCTTTCTGTGTGTGATGATCCATGAGAGGACTTTGCTCTTTGGGTTTTTGGAGGTGTGAGGATCAAGAGGTTCTGTGGTGACTGAGCCTCTTCAAGAAACTGATCTTTGCTGCCTTTAGATTTAAAAAAGTCAGAGGATATGATAAAATATTCTATTGTGAAGAACACTTGAATTAGTCTGGAACTAGAAATTGTGTGCTACTACACCTTGGTAGTAAAGTGTTTGCTGTTCTACCAGGGTTGTAGTAGTAAATTCTTGATTTTTAGGAGCTGCAGACACCAATAAACGTTAGTTTTCTTTAATGAGCAGCAGTTTGGGGATATGAGTATCTCTTTCCCATTCTGTGTGAGCCTCCACAGTTTGGTTCCTTCAAGCAAATGAGGTTTAAGTTTGTCATGACTAATTTCTAAGGGCAGTGGAGGGAGAAGGTGGTCATCCAGTCCCTGTAATGTGTAGGATTTTCCCATTGTTATGATGGATTTGAAATAGGGAAAGTCAAAGGAATTGCCTAATTTATGTAAAGCCACAACACTTTAATCAGTGCCTTGGTACAGTATGTTTTTTAATTGGCTTTTGAAATGCAAATCTGTCTTTGATACTTAAGTGGCAGTTAGATCTTAAGAAGGGTAGAGGGTTTAAAAAAGCTGCTGTAAAACATGGATTAAAAATAGATTTACAAAATTTTGGAGATCTGTGTCTCTAATTCATCTTGGAAAAATAAATATGTATGTATTTTCATAAAAAGTATAATGACATGAGCTGAAAATATTCCCAGGATGATCGTTCCCCAGTCACTGGTTACTATGACTTGGTTAAAGCTTTAATTAAGAGAACAGATACATGAGAGTCTAAAAGTTGGGAAGTGTGACAGGGGCACTGAGTTTGATCATGCAGATTTATTTGCTCTGTAAATCCATTTCAAGACTGCTCACTAAATTATTTGTTTCACCTCTTGTCATCTTCTTTCCCCAAGTGAATCCAGCTGTTTTTCTTCCTCTTCTTCCACTTATCCTTGCATTTGATAATTCTTGGCTTTGAGCTTTGTTTCATTCTCTTGGCTTTGATGAGGCAGGTGTGGCACTGCCGTGGTACAAACTTCAGGTGTGTCTGAGTTTCATTAATTTAAAAACACTTGATGATAACTCCTGACTTGTTTTTTCTCACCTCAACTGAATGATCTCCTTGAATTATTATTTCTCATTTAAATACTCATAGAAATTTTATTTTCAAGCCTTCATTTTGTAATTACTTTTAGAAAAAGTAGAGACAAATCACTTCGGTTAAGAAATGCTCCTACCACGTAACATCAAACTCTACAATGGTTCAGAAACCAGGAAGATTGGGATGTACTTAGTACAAGTGTGGTATGTCCTTTGGAAGCATTGAGCACATTGCAGGGGCAGCACAGCCCAGGAGGAGGATGTTTCTGGAAATGACATGATGAAGCTTCATGTGTTGCTTTGTGTTGAAACCTTGGACACCTTCCTGCTTTTCCACTTACAACTGGGGATGCTGGAATGGACCAAGGCCCATCGTGTCCCTACTTGGAAGAAGGATTTGGAGTTTAATTTCAGGCATACTCGAGCACTTTGTCCCTGAGCAGGGTGTTCTCTGGTGGCCTGGGTAAATCCCCTCCTCCTGCAGCTTCATCCAGCTCATCTGTGGCTGTGGGCAGGTCAGTGGCACTGTGTGTTCTCTCCCAAGTGCACTGGAAGCTCCTGGAGCTGGTCTGTGTGGGGTCAGTGTGACCTTGCTGGGTGTCCCATGGACCCTGTGGGGAGGAGGGACCCACCCTCACTTGGGTTTTGCTGCTGAGAGTTCCTGCAGACATCAGATATAGGGAATGGCCTTGGCTTGGGAAATTGCTCCAGTTTTTAGCTGACCACATTGCCTTTTCAAGATTTGTGTCTTGTGTGTGTCCAGCTTGGGGCTTCCAAACTGATGCCTGGGAGAGCTGTCCCTGGAATTGCAGGGGCCTGGATGGGCTGTGGTGGTTCCTGAGGCTTGGAGGAGTTAATTGAGCTCTGAGCCAGGAGTTGCCAGGGCTTAATCCTGCTTCTGGTGCAGCTCATGACACCAGCTCCAGACCTCTGTGCTTTGCCTTTTCTCCATCGGCTAATAAAGACTTTTTCCACTATAAATTTAAAGTATTAGTTTTTATAATGCACCAAGGTGCTGCAAATGAGGAGGACAGGTAGAGATAAGGAATTCTGTATCCATTACAGACTCTGGATGATATGCAGTGGGTGAAGTTGTGGCCAAGAAGTGATTACCCAGGCC